TATGCGCGGGGAAGAGGGATACCGCGTTGAGGATGCGGGTATCGCGGGGAAAGGGAACCGCGTTCGCGTTCGCCGCCGCGTTCACCGCCGCCGCTCGCGTTCGCCGCCGCGTTCGACACCGCCGCCGTTGCGCACGGGCCCCACCTCACCCGTTATCGCTCGCGTTCGCGAAGATGAAGAGGAAGAGGAGAAGAATTGAAGAAAGTATTATTTTATGATTGAAATTAAAGTTTTTATTATAAAATTTATATTATAGAATTTATGAAAAAGAATATGTAGTGTTAAGTCCACTCCACCGCGCCTATCTGTCGCCATCTGCAACAGACAAAGGAGTCAAATATTTAAAAATTGTGTAAAAACAAAAAGAAAGAAAGATAGCTAGTAAAAAAATACTTACCCTAGTTGTAAAAGGCGACCGTCCTGCTGCCTGTGGCCACATCTAGGATGACACGCAGCGGTGCCTCCTCCCGCGGGCTCGCTGGTGGCTGCGAGCTCCGCGGTGCCTCCTCGCGCGCGTCTACCCTTGCTTGCGGGTCCTCCTTCCTCGGAGGTGTCCTTGCTCGCGCCAGGGTCCGCAAAAATTCATTTTCGTAACCCGACGCCGCGTGGCGTCTGGCTGCTCTCAGCCAATAACGACACCAGCAACTATCAAAGGTGCTGGGCACAAAATTCCTCTCACAAACAATACACTTCATATTCATTATATTCATATTATTATTCGGATGAATTCTTATTGACTGAGAGGTTGACTTGTCAACGATTGTTAGCCGACTAACTCATGGACTCCACAGGAACCCGCGAGTAAAAATGCAAGCCATAGAAATAATTATCTCTCCTACCTGGTAATGCCGTGAGGATGATATTGATATATACGTTATATCACACACACGCTCCTCCGAAATGATAGCTATAAAGAATATAAGTGAAATTGAAACAGTTTTAACTATAAAAACGCTTTTACGGAACCACCAATCGATCCGATACAGCTGATCCGATACAGCTGATCTGTTCAACCGATACCGCTGATCTGACGAACCGCCTGTCAAACTGCCTGTCGAACTGATACCCCTGATCTGTCGAACCGCCTGTCGAACCGCCTGTCTGTCCAATCGAACAGCCTGTCAAACTACCTGTCTGTTCTATCAAACAGCTATTAGTTTAACTACATAAAAAATCATATTCTTCCGCGACCTTCATTAGTTGGATATATTATATGGTCAAGATAAAAA